CCCAGGAACTGTGGGGATCGGCTGAATTTGCTGTTCCGGGGGTAAAACTTCCAAGATCTGTCACTAAAGGGACCCTTCACTAGACTTTGGACTCCGTGCTCCCGTTTAGCTGCATACTGTGTTGTATTTCGTTTAATGCAATGTGAACAAAGCAGAGCCGACATACAGTTGACATTGCGCTGTAACGGAGTACTCCCGGACCACAAAGATAACGCCCTATTATCTAAATGGTAAATCGGACCCCCGGCGAGACGGCCTTGCCGAGTGGGCGTTTCTTTTCCCCGTCCCGTTTGTCCCGCACCTCGGCCCTTTGGTTGCCTTCCATTAAGCCGGGGGAACTTCGGGTGAAAGGTAGTCTGTAAGCGTATTCGTAGTTCCTTTCCACATAAAACACATCCTTTGTATGGAGTAGTAGGTGGAATATGTGCCACCGATCACTGATAGGGAGGGAAAAAAAAACAAAATACATGCATATCTTATTGAACAGTCAATATTTGTGTGGGAACCGGGGCCCCAGAACTCCGGCTAATACCCTGGCAAGATTCAGCCGGCCAAGAAAAGGAAATCTACGCCTCCTGGTTAGTTTTTATACTTGCACGCCTTGGCAGTCGGGGATACCACTGTCTTCTTGCGCAAAGAATGCAGCCAAGTGCTCATCGTGCAGGGGCTGACACTGGCACCTCTGGTCCCTTTGTCGAGATACGCGGATTTGCGGCTGCATGGCAGGTGCATCAGGGCTATCAATAATTGGACAATCCGCGCCTATCAGCGCTGTTGGTTCGTTTCGTTGTTCCACAATCAATCAGGAGTCTATTTTTTTAAAAGAAAAATGAGAGGGAAAATTGATATTCATTTTTTATCCCCAAAATCCGGGGGATTGTCGGCGAACCTGAATGGAGGATTTCAGGGTTTTGTACGGAGTACGGAGCACGGAGTACCTTCAAATACAACATATTTTAGGACTGAGAGTTCCGGAGGGATGATTCCTCCGGATGATGAAGCCGCAGAGCAGTTAGTGACCCGAGTCATTTTCGTGGCCTCATCTTTGGATGACCTGATTGTGTTTTCGCGTGACTAAATGATTACCCAAATTTAACCTTGTGAGATCTCACTTTCAACATCATCGATGATCCTCGTTATTATCACTCCGTGACAGGATCAGATGGTCCCCAGGATCTCCGTACATGGGTCTGGACTGGTCCGGCCTAGAATGACCGTAACCCCCAGACTTTGACCCTTGTGGAGTGTATCTCAAGAACAATATGTACTCTGGAGTACATTTAGATAATTTTATAACATGGAGTGCTGGAGACCCCAGGTTCTGCTCGTCATCGGCTCTCCGCATGCCATCAATTTTTTTAAATACACTCTCTGTCTTGTCATCCGGAGATAGACCAAATCAGAAGCCAGTAGAAATTCCTAAATTCTTGTTGATAAGAAATTCTCCAGAGGCGCGACAGCCGGATAGGAACACGCACCCTCACGCCACACAGTTCTTCAGGAAAAATGCGAGTCCCCACATTTTTGCTCTATGCAGTTACGTAGTTTCTTGATTTCTTTTTTGGTTTAACATTTATTCTAAGTATCTTTAACGTACTAGAGTGATTGAATACCATGTTCTCAATCGTTCAGTTAATTCTATCTATACCCGTAGACTTTGCAAATGTGTAGGATACCCACTCGAGTAAGGGTACGTCCTTTTTTTTTTTACCTTTCTGTTTTTTTTTCCATTTTTGGTTTTTTTTTGAATTTCCCCTTTTGGAACTCTCAATTTTGAAATTTTTCTTTTTTCAAAATTTCCCACTTTTCCTATTTTGCCCCAGTGTCCCCTTCTTCTCCCCCACACTTGGCCTTCCAACTTTGAGAATCTCTTCGAAATTTTCATTTTATTTTATTTCTAATTTTTTTTTTAACTCAATTTCAATTTTTTTGCTTTTTGCACTTGAATTTTTCAGAATTTTCTTTTCTCCAAGTCCGATTCCGACACTGCCCCTTCTCCCCCGATTTCTCCCTTCCCCCTCCATTCCCTATATTACTTGTGACTCCCCAGATCGTCATCTCCAGGTTTCTTTTTTCCTTCTTCCCTCTTGCTTCATTGCTCCCCACAAATCAACTCGACTACTTGTTTTTACCAAACGAGCTATCAGTATTGTCTGCGCATCTTTTCCCGACCTCCCCATCTCAATTCGGGTGTTTGACCTTAGTTCGGGATTCCTGCGTTAAACCGTCCTCGGATCCTTCATATATCCGCCCCAGGGATTTCACATGCCACCGCCGGCTTCTTCAGTAGGATTTTCAAATCTACTCAATCCTCACGACATCTCGCCCGACTCGACATCCCCGAATCCAGGAGACTCTTCAATGGCTTCTTCAGTTAGCTTGTTACCGCCTCTCATGAAGGGTGTGCGCCCCTCTACCGAGGAGGTCCGCCAGGATCTGCCTCGGCCGTACAAGTGTCCTCTTTGTGACCGTGCCTTCCACCGCTTGGAGCACCAAACGAGACACATTCGCACGCACACTGGCGAGAAGCCACACGCCTGCCAGTTCCCCGGTTGCACGAAACGCTTCAGTCGATCAGACGAACTAACTCGCCATTCGCGCATCCACAACAACCCTAACTCGCGCCGCAGTAACAAGGCTCAGCACCTAGCAGCGGCCGCGGCTGCCGCAGGTCAGGATTCTGGCATGGTCAACGCTGCCAGCATGATGCCACCTCCTAGCAAGCCCATCACTCGCTCCGCTCCAGTCTCGCAGATCGGATCTCCGGATATTTCGCCCCCCCACTCCTTCTCCAACTACGCCAACCACATGCGCTCAAATCTGGGTCCTTACTCTCGTACTACTGATCGTGCTTCCTCCGGAATGGATATCAATCTTCTAGCTACAGCTGCGTCGCAAGTAGAGCGAGACGACCACATAAGCTTCCATGGCACACGAGGCCACCAGATTTTTGGCTCCCGTCATCACGGTATTAGCCGGGGCCTCCCTTCGCTTTCCGCGTATGCAATTTCTCAGAATATGACTCGTTCGCATTCCAATGATGAGGATGATGGCTATGGCCATCGTGTCAAGCGCTCTCGTCCTAACTCACCCAACTCCACTGCTCCTTCTTCTCCTACTTTCTCTCACGACTCTCTGTCTCCTACTCCCGACCACACCCCTTTGGCTACTCCTGCACACTCGCCCCGTCTGCGTCCTCTCGGTGCCAGCGAGTTGCATCTGCCTTCTATTCGCCACCTGTCCCTCCAGCACACTCCTGCGCTGGCGCCTATGGAGCCTCAACCAGAAGGTCCCAATTACTACAGCCCAAACCAGGGTCACATGGGCCCAACCATTTCCGACATCATGTCCAAACCTGATGGCACGCAGCGCAAGTTGCCCGTGCCCCAGATTCCCAAGGTTGCGGTGCAGGACATGCTCAACCCCGCGGCCGGATTTTCTTCCATGAACTCGTCCGCCAACAATTCCGTTGCTGGCGGTGACTTGGCAGACCGGTTCTAGCTCTCTTCTTTGCAACCTTCTTTATGCCTTGAAAACTTATGTTATGCGCGCCACGAAACGATATAGACTTGTGCATTTTTACTCTAGCTTGCGGGCATCGACGGTGTCGGATTGGTTTTGATTTTTCTTATCACTGGCGCTACCACCAACTAGACGGATTGGGATCTTGTTTTTCTTCACCTTTGGCTGTTTGCTCCTTTCTGGAGACTTTTCCTTTTTACTTCAAGTTTAAAATTTCGTGTCGAAAGACCTGCTTCCTCTTCTTTATGTCATTCTCCTCTCTGGGGCCTGCGGTCCCATTCAATTCTGATCAATCCCTGTTCCTTTACTTCTCTTCTCTTACTTAATTTCTCACACTTGAGCAAAACCAAGAAATTTTACCCGTAAAAAAATTTTTTTTTCCCTTCAAAGCACTTTGCTTGATTTGCATGTGATATATCTCCACAAATCTGCATATTTGCACTTGGCCTTAGATTGGCAGGGTACTTGACTCGGTGCATCTACAGCATACGTTACTTACCATACATAGCCTTTGATCCTTGATTATGTCTTTGCGATGTCGATTTTGAAACATTCTTGCAGCTCTATTCCATTTAAGAGTAAGATCGCCCAACAAAAAAGAGACATTCACATGTCAAGTGAAAGCACTTCGTCTGGAACACGTCCAACGATCGAGAGTCCCATTCACAGTCCTGTTATGTACGAAGAATCTACTGATGTAGGCTGTGGAATCCTTCGGATGTCTATAATCTATTATGTGTATATTGCACTCCACAAACGGAGATATCCCGATGTTTTTGTCATTTTAATTAAAGCTTGCTCCACCAAGTTCACACTATGAACATGTTTTTAATTTACATTCCTTTGATACATCCACATATGACGAATATTGAGTATACATCGCATTTCAGAGTATTATTAGAGTCAAACTGCCCTATCCGACGAAAATCTGCAGATACCCGTGTCCGTGCATTGTACTCAGACCATAAATCCTCAACAAAGAGAAGAAGTTCCTCTCAGAAAAGGACATGTACATAATTCCGAGTTGAAAGGTAACTTCTAATCCAGCTAGGTCCCTTGTATCCCTTGTATAATCCAAATATCCCCCCATGCCCCGCCCTAATGTTTGAAGAATCGGGACATTCGAAAACTCCTGAGCACCCCCCACTTCAGCCCATTGCTACAACATAGATGGCATAGCCTTACCGACATCGTATGCGCAAAACGGCCCATAAATGTCATGCCTGCTGACAAAAAGGCGCAGATCTGAAGGTGTTTAGTTGATCTGATATCGGACCGCTGGGGTGTATGTATTTTCCGCTCTATCCCGTTCCCCTCATCTGTTTTACTTCCTCTTTTACCTTTTACTCCTATACCTATACTCTACCAGGGTGCTACTACTATTGCTATGTAAGCCCAGGCGGGTAATGCGACTCTGACGCGATCCAGCCGTATCCATATCGCGCAATAGACCTCCCTCATCTTTCGCATCGCGGAGCATGTCGGAGCGCAAGCCCACAAGCCCCGATGACCGCCGACGAGGCGACATCGATCAGCCTCTCGTTTCACGCTCGAATAGAGACCGACATAGAGATCGAGACCATCGCCGATCGTCGTCTGCTCGCAGCGTCAGCATCAGCGCGAGTTCGACTGCCAGCAACAGCACGGCCTCAAGTAGGAACCCCGCTCTGTCGCAAAAGCATCCCAATAAGATTAGGCAGCCAGGTGTCGTCGTGACTGCCATGTCGTCTTCGCCTGCCATGCCAGGCTTGTCCAGCGCATCGCCGTCACCGTCGATCTCATCTGTGGATTCTAGACTCGGTACCGGTCTTGAAACGGCACAGGGAGATAGCAGCACAGGTGGGATCTACATTTACGGTGACATGACACCTTTGATCACAACCGACAGCGACCAAGAGCCTACTCCATCGCGCGCTTCGATCTCGTCCTGGAACACGACCGCAGCAGCTTCTATCTCATCCGCGACGCCATCAATACCCATGTCTCTAATAGCCAGCACGGAGCAGCGCACATACGCATGCCTATTCCACATGCTGGACTGCCATGAGTCCTTCGATGACGGCGCAGAGTGGCGCACTCACGTCTTCAGCCACTTTCGCTCTCATCCGACGCCGCCGTCAGCGCGGTGTCCGCTGTGTCCGAATACTAAATTCGTCGATGGCATCTTGGACCCCGTGTCATCGCCTGCTCTCGAGGACGGCGAGTACGCCCGCTCTATCGACGACACTCTTCAAGCTCCGTTGAAAGACTTCCCCTCCGCTTGGGATCGTATGCTCGACCACGTCGCTGCGAACCACTACTGTCTTGGCCAGACACTTGCTGGGAGTCGGCCTGATTTTGAGCTTATGCGGTATCTTTATGGAATGCGGGTTATCACGGATGCGCAATTTAAGGCTATGCAGTTGCCACCTGCGCCGTCGAGTCCAGCTTATCATCGCTCGCAGGATGGTGTGAGGGCTAGTATTGGCTCTGCTGATGAGCCGTACTGTGCGCCGTATAGTAAGCGGCGGGAGGAGAGAATGAGGGGGCAACACAGGGGTCTCGGAGTGTTGTAGCGCTTTCTGTTGGCTTCTGGGTTGAGGTATTGGTTTATGGTTTCGGACATTCCCCCCTTTCGCTTTTGCATTGCATTTACTTTTCTTGAGACCTTTAGAAAGCGATGTAGTTCTTAATCTTAAAGAGTGATTGTGTCTCTTCTGAGAGTAGGATATCCGATCAAACAAGACAAACTCACCGCCCTTGATGACGGCCTTTGCGACCTCGATCCTCCATCGCGATGTTAGAAAGAAATGGAATGAGAACCTCCACATCGAATTCCTGAATCTCTTTGCATCAGTGTCTTCCCCCCGCCCCCTCACCCCCTACCTACCCCTCCCCACCGCTTTCCGATTTTCTCTCTTCGCCAATCCAAAAACCACAGTGATTACACCATGGAGCGCCTATCTCTAAACGAAAGCCCTGCCCTGGCCCATCGAACCCCGCAGCAAAACCAACAGTTCTCCCAGAATGCCCTTGGCCCAGCAGGCGGCCCACCGCAATTACCTCCGCAGATGTTCACGACCGCCGCACAGCTGCTCGATCTAACAGATAGTATGTCCAAAATCGACGCGCTCAAAGCGATCCAATAGCAGAAAGAACGAGAAAGGGATAAAGCGCAAAGAAAACAGCTGACGCAATCGCAGAGAAACTCGTCCTCATCCTCCGCGACGGCCGCAAACTCATCGGCGTCCTCCGAAGCTGGGACCAGTTCGGTACGCCAACCACACCACCTTCACCCCAAATCTCTCGCCCTTCATCTGACATTCAATCCTCGCAGCAAACCTTGTTTTCCAGGATACCGTAGAGCGCGTTTACGCAGGACATTTGTTCGCAGATGTCCCGCGCGGGATCTTCATCGTTCGTGGAGAGAATGTGCTCCTACTAGGTGAAGTGGTATGATCGATTCCTCCGTCCACGTTCCTCAATTCCACAATCCTCTGTTGCAATCTGCGGGGTTTGCTCTGCGCAATCAAATAAAGTACCCTGGAAAAGAACCTCGCTTACACATTTGATACGCAGGACCTCGACCGCGAAGACGACATCCCACCGACGCTGACCAGAGCCTCATTTGAGGAAGTCTTCGAGCTGAAGAAGAAGGAAGACGCGAAGCGGAAAAAGGGCGATAAGAAGCGGTACGATGAGCTGCAGGCGCTCGGTTTCGAGCCAGAGCACAGTGGGGAGATTTTGTTCTAGTTATTGTCCTTCACCTGCTTGTTGTGTGTTTTGTTCTGTTGGGATCAGTGCATGATATACCAGACTTTGGTGTCTGGCTTGTCTGCTCTGTGGACTTTTCGCTTGCCTGATTCCCGGGGTCCGGGTATTTGATATTTTTGATACCTGCATTGAAGACTGAGTGTTGAAAAGGAACGAAGGAGCGTCAGTATCAACCCAGTCGATGACCTCCGGATGAGTTGACGGGGTCGATTTCTATGCCGGGCGGATTGTGATTTGTTTGAAATTGCATCGGCGACGGAGTTTTGGCTGGATTCGGATGCTCGGCGGAGCGGCGGGTTACTACTGTCCTGCTGTATGTATACTGTGAGGAAGCTGTAAACGCTATGATCTTTGATGGATACGATGCCGTCTGGTCTAGACTTCGCGAGCTTCTTGGTCGTTTGCCCCATTTGCGTCGCACTCTAAATCTACTTCTCTGAGCGAGCGATGGGGGCTGTGGGAAATGCTGCTGAGCTGCCTGGTTGGCTGGCTCACGTTCATGAAATTCTGATTGACATGTTCGATACACTTTTTTTGCAGGATGAACTGCTTTGCAAATGAGAATATGATAACATCACACTGCATTTGGGATTTCGGGTTTTTGGTAAGGTTGTAGTCGAAGTATACTTGACCAGTAGTAGCCTTTCATCAGCGCCATGGTATATCGGATAATTCGTATACTAGATATAAGTGAAAGACTGCGAGATGCGTGTTGTGAAATAAACAAAAATGGGCTACTCATCTAGGAGGTAAATAGCCTGTAGGCTACATATACATAGATCCTACATCGATGAGAACAAAACAATATCTATGTCCATTGACCTAATAGAAACTTTTGAACAGAATCGTAATCATATCATGAAAAAAACACGGAGTCGAATAACTCTGCATCAAAACAGAAAAAAGCCCAGAGTCAACGGAATCACCACAGCGGAGGGTATTATGAGAACGTCAACACTAACCAAGCATGACAGGGACCGAAGACCAGATGGCAGAAACAAAAGAAACAAGAATTCAAAAACATGAAACTCAGAACGATAACTCCGGAATCTGCTAGATGCCACCTTCCTCCCCTCTCCAGCTCAGTACCCAAGCCCCGACAGAGAAGGCAAAAAAAAAGAGATATGACTTGTTTGCAAAGCAAAGATTTTTATCTCTTCTTGCCCCATCCCGAGCGGTTGCCACCCCGAGGAGCGTTGCCAGGATTGCGACGCTTCTCAATGCGACCGCCGCCAGGCGCCCCAGAAGTCTTGGGGGCTCCAAGACCACGACGACCAGAGCTGTGACCGGATCCAGAAGCGCGCAGGTCCTTCTTCAGATCGTCCTCATCGACATCCATGCTATCGCCAGCATTCTTCTTTGACGACTGGCCCATCTTGACCTTACCTCTCTGGCCACGACGGACAGCGTCGGGTCCACTAACAGCAGCGAGGTAGGCGTTCACGCCACCGTCGCCTGCGCCGGACATCTCGACGTCATCGGCGACGACATCACCATCATCGCCGAGGACAAGACGGCCATCAGCGTCGACCTTAGCGGAGCGCTGCTTCCTCTTCGAGCCGGGGCCTGTGTTGAGGAAGCGCTGGCTGGGCTTGGTGGTGGAGATGCTGGCCAGGGCATTGGAGCCGAGCAGATCGAGGGGATTATCCTCGGGAGACAGCTCACGGATGTACTGGGTGCTTTGGCCTGCTCTTTTCTTGGAATTACGGCCCTTGATTTGGGCGACGTTGTCGACGTCGACATCGCTGTCACCGTCGTCCGAGTCGTCGGAGGAGTCGGAGTCAGAGCCGTACACGGCCCTGTCGAAGGCGTTACCAGATTGGGGCTTGGAGGCCTTCTCCTCTTCGTCTTCATCTTCGCCATCAGCACCCTCCTTCTTCTTGCGCTTGCTGCGCTCACGGGCTTTGCGGATGTTGACGATGAGTTTACGGTCTTCCTCGCCAACGATAGCCTCCAGGAGGGGAGCACCGAATCGGCGCACAAGTCGGTCGATGATGCCCTTCACCTTGCTACGGAGACGGCCTTTGTGCTCCTTGTTCCAAGCCATGAGGCTGGGAACCATGGTGTTGAGACGGGGGCGCAGGGTCTCCTCAGGGAGAACGACGACTGCAACCTTGACGAAGCCAAGGACAGAACGGACGATTTCACGGTTGTTGGAGGTAAGGAAGAGCTCAACGGTCTCGACAAGTTCCTTGAGCATCTCAGGCTGAAGTTGGGTCTGGAAGTCAAAGAACAGACGCGAAAGCGCGGTGACGGTGGCACCCACCATGTGAGGAGCAGAGCCAGCCAGACCGGCTGAGACCATTGTGAAGAACTCCTCAAGGGTAGCCGGTGCATCGGGGGAATCATCCGCCACGCCTGGAACAAGCGATCTGCGGATCACAGTGCCGGGAGGGTTACGCTCTGAATCGATTGTGCGCTTGGCCAAGAGAATCAGCAAGTCAAAGGCCGCTGTGCGTGCCTTCTCGTTGCTTTCCTTGCAGCCCAGAACCACCTCCGACAGGATTGCCGGGATGAAGTGCAGATCTGAAGTAGGCAGGTGGTTGATCATCTCGGTGATAGCGAGCATACGGTCGCGGCGGCCAGACGCAGGGGTCGTATCTGTGGTGGCAAGCATGAGAGCCTGCAACTCTCCACTACGCTCCTGGAGAGCGGCGCGGCCAGTTTCAGTTGTTCCAAGGCGGGGAATCAACTTGTAGGCCTTCTTGATGAGTTGCTGATCCGGGTTGGGGGATGAGCTGTTGAGGATAGCTGCCGCCATGGCAAACAAGCCACTGAAGCTGGAGCGAGGAAGGTAGATTGACATAGCGATGACAAGGTCAATCAAAGTGTGGGAGGTCGGTGGCATCTTGTCGGACGAGTTTTGAGCCTGAGCACTCTGCTTGGTTGCTGCCTCTTGCTCGGTGACCAAAGAAGACTCAAGCATGGAAGTAACGCGGTTGAAAGTATCGTTTAGCTCCTAAGAAGGGAGTTAGTCGGTGTTGAGTTATTTACAAAATTGAGGAGAGAAACTCACATTTTCGGGGGTAATGCTCAAATAGGCATTGATACACTGTAGGATGTAGCCGCGGTAGTGGGGAAGGGTCTGGCTGTAAACGTTGAACAACACAGCCAGCAAATTGCTCGCAAGACTGCTGAGATGAGTGAGGTTCGTCTGTGCAGTGACCTTGGTGATACGTCGTTGCAAGATCAGATCATCCTCATCGTTTTCGACAGACAAGATAGCCTGGTTAGACTCAACCAGGTTCTGCAAGGCACGGCAGACATCGACACGCAATTCGGTCTGCTTATACAGAACGTTAGACAGAAGCTCAGCGAATGACTGGTCAAAAGCCTCTTCAAGATCAAGCGGCAGCTCGCAGTAGCCAGGAAGGGTACCCCAAGTCTGTTGGACGAGGGTTTCGAAAATTTTCACTTCCACGGACTTCTCGGCGGCACCGAAGTTCACCACCTTCTGGTAAAGTGCCTCACTCAGGGGAACAAGTTCGGTACGGAAGTGACGGAGGTTCGTGTTGGTCACGCTGTCGCGCATAATGGGCAGCATCCAGACACGACCGGGTTGACCAGCCTTTTGTTCGATGATGTTGAGGGGAAGAATTTCCAATACTGCCTCGGGGCCCATTGCCTCGATGGCACTACCAAGAACGGCATCGGCTTCCTTTTTGCCGTGGAAGCCGCCATTGCTGCGCAGTTCACCGATGGTGGAGACAATCTTGACAAGATACGGGCTTGATCGCCACTTGAAGCAATCGAACAGGGCAGAGCAAACATTGAACACCTCTTTCCAAGCAGCCTGGTACTTCACTGACAAAAGGTCAACGGCAGCACGAGACAACTTCTCCAAAGTCTTCTCATCATAGACTGATGGCTCCACAATAACACTGTTGGGAATACAGTTGTGTAGGAATGAGATCAGACACTCAGATGCAGAAACACGGATGTTGCTGGAAGGGGAAGCCATGAAGCCAGAAATCAAGGTGAATAGATCCGGCAACTTCTCGAAAGTGTCCTCGGGAGTGATCTGTGCGGCCACGTCGTAACCGCGGGAAAGCACTGCAATCCAAGGTGGGAGAAGCTGGGAGTCGTTCTGCGCAGGCTTGAGTTCGGAGATAGCATCCAAAAGACGGGGCAGCTTCGATGACGAAAACTCATCAGCCATTCCTTCGAAAATGACCTCAAATACCTCAAAGGCACCCATGGTGATGTACTCGTTGCTAGAGCGGGAAGCGTTCATCAGAAGTTCGCTCAGCGGTTCGATCTTCTTGCTCGGCCAGCCACCTGACGCCGAGGCAATAGTTTTGATCAGCTGCAACGAGTGAATGACAAGGGGTTCGTGACTGTTGGCCTGAGCATCGTGACGACCCTTCTTTTGCTTATGAGCAGATGTGATGCTGTCGCCCAGAGTTTTCATCGCAGACTGAGCGCACATATCCGCACCTGGGTGGTCCAGAGACGGGCTCGGCGGGGGCGCCTTGAGAACCTTGACAAGAGCCTCCTGGGCACGCTTCCGCACCTTGGGGCGGTGGTCAACCGAGAGACTCAGCAGACCTGCCATCGCACGTCGCGGGCCGACCTGTGTGTGGGGGATATTCCATGATGCAGCATCCTGGGCAATAAGCAGGGACTCAAGACAGCCAATGGAAGGACGCAGGAGTGGGGCTTCGACCTCGGGGAGAGAAAGCGCGGGTGCAAGACCTTCGAGGATCTGAGAAAATTTGGAGCAAAGGATCGGCGCGGGGACGTAAACGGTTGTGATGTCGAGAAGATAGACAACGGATGTCGCTAGGTCCTTGTTCACAATGCCCTGGGAGGCGGACAGTGACTGCGAGAGCAGTGCAAGAAGAGCGGCAAAATATGCGGTAGGTGAGAAGTCTGCCTTTTGATCACGGAGAGTATCCTCAACTGCAGAGAGCACCACAGCGGTCTGTTCATGGGTCAGAATGTTAGTGCCATTTGATTGGGTGTGCAGCAGTAAAACTAACGTGATGCTGGTTCTGCAGCTTGGGAGACTTAATCTTCTCAAGCTTCTCCGCCAGAGTCGCCATGATGATTGAGGACGACGAGGTGGAGAAGAGTCAAAGAAAGCAATGTATTGGGATGAGAAAGAGGGCTGTTTGGCGGTGATAAAAATCGTAAAGGAAAAAAAGTAAAGTCCGGCAAATTTGGAGGCGGTCAGACAGGCGGCGGGGCGGTGCTCTGACTAAGAGTGTTTTTCAGTCCGGTGAATTTTCCAAGAAACTACTTGCTTAAAATCTCAATGTCTTCTTGATATACATTGCTGGCTTATGAACACGTCAGAAGAGTTTGTCTAGGCCAGTTTTAGTCTGGTGATGGCTTCTGGTTGCTTCACTTGATCTGATCCTTCCCTGGTTTCAAGTGCTCGTTTCCATCACAGTCATGTCTAACAAAACTCCAAGATCAGTAGCCGAATAGAAATTTCGAGCGAGGTTGCATAGGTCATTCTAGCATTCTTGTGAAGCTTTTGATTCTATGACATGTTGCTGCTTCATAAAACAGCAGCCCTAAGATTACACTTTGACTGCTAGGAAATACCACATCCTACTTAACGTGTGAAATAGATGAGAGCGACGTTTTTTTTTTCGTTCTGGGACTTTTTGATGTTTCCTTCCTTTTATAGTCGGAAGATCAAAAGCAATTGCCCTGCATCGCAAACCGTGGGGATATATAGCAACATTTCATGTTAGGTGAAAGTCAACATGCTTTGACCCACCTATCTAGACATCCCCCATGTGAATCAGAAGCCCACATCTCGTTTAAATTAAAGTTATGTGGGTTGCTCGTTTGCAGCCAACTCAAGGCCTCAAAATGCCAAGACAAAGTTTCAGGCAACAGCATGGGTGCCTTGACTATTCCCTTTTGGGTGAGAAGAAGCCGTAGTTTATATAAACCTCCCTTTTCGCATTGATGGAGTGTATATCACAATCATGTCATTTCTCAGTTTGCCCCTCGAGATTCACCAGCGAGTCATCTCATACCTTCTATCAAACCGTGACGTGGCCGCCCTATCAGCACAATGTCGAACTCTCCACTCTCTATGCGACATGGCAACTCGCAAGAAGTATCACCGAGTTAGTGTCTCCTCAAATGACGAAGATAATATCGAGATTTCTTTCGCCTTGCTTATGGAAATCTTGAAACGACCTAGCCTGGGTGACTACGTGCGCCATATCGAATGCCGCACAGCAACATCCAGGCATCTGGACTACAAGCAAGTCAACTCTCAGCGGGATTTGAGCAACGAGGAAATGACTCTTGTGCGAGAAGCGGTCAAAAAGGGTGGGTTT